AGTGTTACTGAGCTGTTTGAGATGAGCTTTGTGACGCTGTGCAGCCATCAGAAGATGAGCACACTGAAAGACGACATGGTCAGCTTCATTTATAACGAGTCTCCAAAAGTGGCTCCACCATTACAAGCGCCACCGGCATCCTGAGGAGCAGCTGAAAGCCAGGATGGAGCCGTGCGTCTGAGCCTGCCATCTGAACGCTGCAGCAGAAATTGAGACCATCAGAGCACAGTTGATAACATTTTGGTGAGTCACTGTGACCTGATCGGCTCATAGGAGTAGCACCCAACGGCGTCTTCTGCTTTAGCCCGTTTGATTCAAAGTTCAACAAGGCTGTGCTTTCTGAGATTCTCTTCTCCACACCTTGGTCACGTTCACGTTGCATCAGTATCAGATTGAAATAGTCTGGCTCTGATCTCTGGCACTATACATTTACATCAAAAGGGCTTTGAACAGGCGTACCTAATGAAGCGGTCGGTGATCGTAAATGTTTACAGGAAAATGGCCCAGCTGTTTGAGCTGGTTTATTGATTGTGCGATATCAGCAAGCGCTCTCTGATTAGTTTAACGTCTCATTACAAAGTGCTGTGAATTTCCCAACTGTGGGACTAATAAAGCCCATCTTATCTTACGTGTCTTATGATTATTTTCAAAGTGATGGTTCCAGGTGGAGTAAACAAGGCAATTAAGGCCAGATATGATTAAGGGTGGGCGTTGTGGTTGTCAGGTTGCTGCCATATAAGTCCAGTCTGTCTTCAGTTCTTAGTTGGGTCCACCCCTTGGTTCTCATGTCCAGTTTCATAAAACCAAGCTGGTGATGTCTTAAACAAAACTTTACTAACCAGTGTGACATAATCACAGTGGGGGTTCTCATGAGGCCACACCTGGATGTTCTGTTTTCACTTCACTTTGTTCACTTTGTGTCGTGTGTGTGTTTTCAGGAGAGCCTGGTTCCTCAGTGTGAGCCCGGGGACACTGAGATGTGCACTTTGCAGAGTAAGTTTTAAATGTGGATCCTGTGTTAGGAAATGTTCTCAATAATCAAGGTAAACCCAGCATATAAAATTTAATGTGGTGGATTTAGGTTAAGTGTGTGTTGGTGTTTTATCACCAAACAATGATAACAAAGAAATAAATTTCAGACACTGCTCAGGAAATCTCACCATGAAGCCTCTGACAGAGAATGAGACAATCATGTAGGATGAAGCAGCAGGTTCAAAGGTCACGGGGCATCCACATTAGTGTGCTGCTCTGTCAGGTTTGTGTAGCAGTGTGCCTGATTGGTCTCTGGTGGTAAAAGGAAGTAGCATGAGCACTCTTCCTCTGAAACATATTCAATAATCTGTTTTCTTGTACTTGTCACATGAAGCATTGTGGGAGGGGCTTGAATCTAATCTGCAAAACAACAGCATCGTTTTTCTGATGCCAAACAACACAGGCTGAGCGGGCCACCACTATGATCCAGAGACTTCTAATAAACGTCCCACCCATTAACTAGTCGTGCCTTTATGCACCACAAACTCAGGGGACCGAAGTCTCGCCCGTGTTTCTGTTTTTTGTTGTCCAACTCTCAGCAGTCCTGTAATGAAGTACTCATATGTGTCCAGCAGGAGGAGACAACAGGCTGTTTAACTCTCCAGCTCAAACGACTCACAAAGACGATCCAGAAGAAGAGGAGGGTTCCTGCAACCTGCCCCCATACAGCCGACTGACCTGACAAGCATGCCTGTTGGGGACTTCATCCTCCTGCTTGCTTCCTTCTGACTGCAGGTTCATTATATTTAAAGCTAAAGTCTGTGGGTTTACTTCTGAGCACAGACAGAGGAGGAATTACATAATTCAAGTGAAGCTCAAGATGCCAAGTCTTGAAAAACGGGACTTTTTACAGATGTGTTGGAGAGACACGAACTGTTGCGCTGTGGCAGTTTCTTTTGGTTAATGGCCTCACAATCCTACAGTCAGACTCACTTAAACTTGCCAAAGCCTGAATACCTGTGTGTGCATCGTGTCAGTACTTTCATGTTTAATTCTTTTTACGCTGTGTGAATGACTTTTGCTCTGACTCAATATATTTAATACGTATGCATTAAATACAAATTGGACTGAACTGTTGGAGAGCTGAAACATTGTTGGTAGTTTATTGCACATAAAACCACAGGATCTCCCTTTTTCTCCACCAGTTTAATGGATTTAATTCATTTCTTTCGGCCCATTTACAGTAAGATATACAGCAATCCTGTCTTGCATCTTTAACGAACAAAAGTAAACCAAAGGAAGTTACAGTAGAGCCCAGTGTGAAGGCGGACGTGGAATGAAAACAAAGGACACTTTGCGAACAGAAAAAAAGCAGCAGCCGAGCCCACAACAATTAAAACCCACGCAGTGCCCACCCCCCATTCCAGTCACATCACTGACAGGCTCCACAGATGCTTGGGCTGTGAACAGCAAGTCCTGAGAGAAAGTGGTGTTGTCATTTACTGTCTGTGTATTAAGACGACGTAAGCAAACCTGTAGGTGATCGGTAGAATAGCCACAGGACCAGCTGTGGTCAGACATGCACAAACTGACACGAAGCCACAAAATTACTCTATGGACACCAGCCGAGGGGCTGTCGCTGCTTGTGGACGGAAAGATGGCGTTTATTGTAGAAGGCTGCCAGACATGCTTAGTATTATATCACAAGCTTATGTGTAATCTAAGTAGCGGATGTAGACATTACTCCACATGTTAAGACACCTGAGCGACACACTATGAAGTAGGGAAATCCAAGGTCAGCGCAACGTCTGCAATAACAATTTGCCTGATAGTTACTTTCCCCTTTTTTGTAAAGAAAAAACTGTTTAAAAATTGAGAGTCCCGGGTATTTAACCCTTTGATGAACTGTCCTCCTGGAGGTGGTTCCAGAGTAGATTCATACCTCTAGGTCACGCTAGCCAAGGTGTCAGTCCTTCATCAGGTGTCCCCCCTCCCCACCATCCTGTGAGTTGTTATGGTCACACAGACAAAGGTGTGAGTGAGGGCTTAATGACCTGGGAGGGGATCTGAAGAATGCATCGTGGGTGGATGATGGGTGGCGTCACCACCACCACATTGATACATACTTAACTTATTTGTTTTAATCATCTGATTGGCCAGCTATGCAGATTTGTACCCTACACTTAAAAAGAAGCAGGCAAACAAAAAGTTTTAACCAGTATTTCCCTTAAAGGTTCCCTTTTGACTGACTGCACATTCCTTATATGTCATTGCTCCTGAATTACAGACAAGATTAGGAATTGGAAAAGCAATAGCGCCATATTTTTGTGGGGCATCTTAGAACATTAGCATCAATCTAAAATGTTTCAAAAAGCCAAAGGTTTTTTCAAGATTTATCGATATCTTAATTATTAATTATTATAATCTTATTTTATATTCCTGACAACTTCTGCAATGCCATTTAACCACTTCTTAGCTAAACCACAATCTCTGTGTTCATCAGCAGGGTATTTACTCCCAGTTTTTATGTTATAGGAAAACTACAGATCTTGTTTCAGGAAGCAAATCCATTCAAAAACAAAAACCTGGAGAAAAGAGAGCGAACCAGTGCTAGCTCTTTTCAGACTGTTTCCTGTGCTACTCTATTGCAGTATACAAAGGTTCATTTGAAGGCCTAATAATAACAACTGCTGCACACAGACTGTACATACATAGAAGACACCTTACCAGTTCCTCCCACTGTTCAGAAGTGAAACAAAAAACAGAGGAAATTAGCAAACTAGATTAGCAGCTAGATGGTAGCCATGATTTCCTGGATATTTTCGCTCCAATTATGAGGAGCTATATTAAGGCCTAACATGAAAAAGACTTGATCATTTCCTCACCTTTTATTGGCACAATTTTTCAGTAAAGCTGCAAAAGATAATACCATTTGTTAACTGTCCGCTAATGCTAATGCTAATGCTACGTTTACAAACAATTTATGAGCAAAGATTTTGCTCAAAAACAAATTTGAGTTGTCTCGTAATTATGTGGATGTTTTTGTGCTTTCCTGGGACATTTATCAGGACATTAAGTACCAAGTATATCTACTGGTAGCTGTGGTTAGCAATGACTGTACATGCACTGAAAACACCTTAGCAGTAATATCGTTTTCTTTGAAACAGCTTCAGCTGTAAAAATAAAAGTGAGCTGAAACAGACGGGAATGGTTCACGAGGTGTGATGCCAGTAGCAGACATCACGGCATGAACTTGATGTTGAATCTTTTTGTTTGGCTGGAAAAGGTGTGATGAATTGGTCATAATGGACACATGATTGTTGTACATGCTCCCAGACCCTCCTGTGGTTTGAGGTTGTCCTAATAATTGACAAATAGCTAAAATTTGCCTTTAACTTTACGAAACCACTCTGTAAAACTGTCATTGAAGTAATCATACTTCTTTACTTTCCATCTACTCTTAATATTAAACAAACTTCAGGCCACAGACCAGGAATCCACGTATCCATTGTTCGGTGTTTGGTAATGTTCTCGTTTTTTTGCATTATTTGTTAAAGGCTTTACAGTCAGTCCTTCTTTAAACCCTCAACTGATGCAAATGCATCGGCATAATAATAAAGTTCATATAGTAGGAGGAAAAAGAAAGGTTGTCCATAACTCAATAAATCAGCCCAAAACTGAGTGGAAAAAACTCCACTTTTTCTATAAAAAGTCAATAATGTGGATATTGTTCCCTCCATGCATTTCATTCCAATTTAGTATTTCAGTGAACTCGTTATGACTAAGTTACACACAGAATATTAATATAAGTGGACTTCCATTGGCAATTTTTTAATGACTGGAGTAAAAGCAACAGGATTTAAAGGCACCCTGTGAAGTTTTCATCTCACAGTTGTAGCCGCTGTTTTTAACGGTCCGCACACTCTGCTAGCACGCGCCTGTTTCTGGTTCTTATAATTAACTTTAGCATTAATGGTGATAACAAGCTAAGAAAGCAAGCAGTTCAGCAAAAACACCCTCAGCTTCTGGAGGGCGACCAATCACAAGAAAGTGTATGAACAGAGGGGATACACTGGAAATTCAAAGTCCCAGGAATAAAGAATTAAATGTAGTGTTACTTGAGAAAAGTTAGTCTGATGGTGTCCCAGAATAGAAACATAGACCGTGGACTGGGAAGACCAGATCCCATGTGAAATATTCAGAATACTGCATCTGCACATTCACACTCAACATAAACAAAGAGTGAAAATACTATTTAGATGCAAACGTCACAGGGAGCCTTTGATGAGACAACTAAAACCAGCCACCTGCAGAGTGTTACACCCACGAGGGGGGCGGAGATAACATGACCAACACCTTTAAGATAATGCAGTCTACAAACATTATAATACCACAGTGACACCGCTCTTCTAACATACAGTCTAATTAAATGGCATGTAGTGCATTACTTTGTAAAGTGCTGTTATTTTGACCCTACATATCTGCCTCTGCTGAAGGAGTTAAACGAATAATTACTGATTTAATATCAGATTTTTGGCCCCAGTTTTCCAATCATTCATTGGCACAGTTCATTTCCGTGAACCCTGCCAATCCTAGACAGTCACATACTGCCTCAAATGGTTATAAGTCAGTTAAGCACAAGCAGTGAACTAATATATCCTCTACTGGAAACATTCATCTGTTGTTCTGATTGTGAAGACATTTTTTAAGAACAATTTTCTCTTTTTTGACTCCGTTCTTTGCTCTGCCCCGTCTGCCTCCAACCTCATCGGCCATCAGCCGCCTCGGGCCGAGCTCGTCTCCTTCTATCCTCTCCGTTAGCCTATCTCAGCAGCTGGTGCAGCCCCAGCTTCTGGTCCCGTCCCCCCCATCATCCCGCCCCCTGTTTAGGTTGATGGTTCCCCCTGCTGCCTCAGGGGGCTGGCTGAGCACCAGGGGCTTCTGAGACTTTAGCTTATGGGCGACTGTCATGAAAATAGCCTCGACATGGTCACTATTTCCATAGTTTCTGTCTCCTTGGCTGTTGGGATTCTTTGCAGATGTCTCAAACAGCGGCATGGAGTGGGCGTCTGCGAACTGTTGAGCCAAGTCCGTGTTTACTTGCACGGAGTCTTGGAGGTCACACTTGTTTCCGACTAAGATCCTGGGTACCTCTGTGCCCAGTGCGTGCTGCTTGCACTCTTCGATCCAAGCAGGGAGGCTGTGGAAGCTGGCAGCGTTGGTGATGTCATAGACAAAGACAACAGCGTGCACGTTGCGGTAGTAGTGCTGCACCATGGACTTCCTGAAACGCTCCTGGCCTGCAGTGTCCCACAGCTGGATCTGTACGAGACAATACAGAAGTGACTGCCAGAAGACAAGCAGTGATGTCATTTACTCACAAATTACGTTCATTATTATAATAAGATTATTATTATTTTATCGTTTTTCTAATCTTGCTGACTGCTCCAAACTAGAACTGTGTTTATATCCATATTATTGTGTCACTAAGTTCTACTGTCAGCCACAAACCATTACAAACACAACACTGACACACTGTTTCTACATTGTCGCAGGTCTCATGATCTGTGCATCAGTATTAGAAATTAGGGAAGAGTCAGTTAGTCATTGTTAATGGGCAGATTATTCATATTTTAATAATGTACTGTACAATGCCAGTTAACTGAATTAGCTGCCAACTGGAGATACCACAGCAGCTGTTCTTATTGTATTACTTCCTATGATGACGTATGTGTCGCTGGCGCTCCTGTAGTGCAGTGCCTGCAATTGTGCAGCCACAACAAATGAAGCCCTTTACGATTACATTTATGCAACACAGAAATCCAAATATCTGTGCAGATCATTGATGCAGCTAGTTCATTAACTGAAATACCTGGTCTAAATATGTTCAAAGTTCTTTCTCTTATAAGGTACATTGTTCTAAAGTGAGCGCAGTGGAACAGGCGAGGTTAAACATTGGCCACACAAACATACATTTGAGTGGATTTAGGAGCCATTAAAATCTTTGATAATCAAGTCATGTTTTAAATGTTGTAGGAATGTGTGGCACTTTGTAAATATTACTGAAAACAGATTTGTTTGTAAAGAGTGGCTAATGTTAGCAAAGCTAGCAACAGCAACCTTTCCTTCTTTACAGGCTCACAACTGTACAGACAAAATCAACATGGTGTGGACCAAACTGTTGAGGCAGTAGAGTAGAGTGCAGTAAAAAAATTAGAATCACAATTGACAGAACATTTTACTCAACTCGATTAACATTCTTTTATACATACACACCATACACAGAAAGAACAGACTGAGCGTGAGCTGACCGATTTGTGCAGCTGGCTCGATGTTTGAGTTTGTCTCTGTGATGCTTCCATGTTGCAGCCTGGACTCAGAGTAACGATGCACTCACACCTTTACCTCGGAAGTTGGAAGTGGGAGTGACTTTACTCCCAAACTGTGGTAAAGTCATAAAATCAAGCTAAATCCATAAGTAACAATACAATGCAACGCTTGTCTTCCTGCCTGGTCAGTGACTGTGTAATGCTTATCTATAGCCATTTTCCACTAGTACCTACTCCGGTCGGCTCGACTCTGTTGTTAGGCTTTTCCATTAGCTGGTACTACCTGGTACAAGATACCTTTTTAGTACCTTCTTGGTTGGGGTTCCATGCCAGCCAGGTGGTCTGAAAATGTGACGTCAACAGACTGCATACCAAATATTGGCTAGTCAGTGGCACCACTTCTAAAACCAGATCAAACTGAGGTTATTGTACTTGCTCCTAAAAATCGTAGAAATATGGTATCTAACCAGATTCTTATTCTGGATGGCATTACCTTGGCCTCCAGTAACGCTGTGAGGAACCTTGGAGTCATTTTTGACCAGGACATGTCCTTCAAACAAACTTCAAACAAATATGTAGGACTGCTTTCTTCCATGTGTGTAATATGTGCACCAATATCTCTAAAATCAGAAATATCCTGTCTCAGAGTGACGCTGAAAAACTAGTTCATGCATTTATTACTTCCAGGCTGGACGACTGTAATTCATTATGATCAGGAAGTCCTAAAAACTCCCTGAAAAGCCTTCAGTTAATCCAAAATGCTGCAGCAAGAGTCCTGACAGGGACTAGAAAGAGAGAGCAGATTTCTCCTGTTTTGGCTTCCCTTCATTGGCTTCCTGTTAAATCCAGAATTGAATTCAAAATCCTGCTCCTCACATACAAGGTCTTAAATAATCAGGCCCCATCTTATCTTAATGACCTTATAGTAGAGTTGGATGTCTCGAGACTGGTCTTGGTCTCGAGAAAACTTTTACGTGGTCTTGGTCTTTTCTTGGACTCGCTGTCTCAGTCTTGCTGTCTCAGATCGACATAGTGGTCGGGAGATTTGGAGTCAACAGTATCCATGACACACAACGTAATGTTCAATAATGTGTCATGCGCAAAAGCATCAGTTCTAAGAGCCGTGCTTAGAGAGTACTTTGTAGTGAATCAGAAGAGTCGACTGCCATAAAGCGAAGGCCGGCTCCTCACTTAATTTTCTCTCGCTGCTCAGCTCTCACAGAGTGGCTCAGCTATGCTCCAATCCCTCCATATTGTGGCCAATCACATGCGAGGATATAGGATAATATCATTATGTGAAAAACAGAGAGGGTGAGAGACGTGACAGTCAAGTGGAGCGTGCGTCTGTCCTCTCAGTAAGTGTCGGTCTTGGTATTGGTCTTGGTTTAGGCGGTACCTTATAGTAACATATATCTTTTAAACCTGGCAACGAGGCTTTATAAAAAACAACAACGTGGCCCCCACGTGTGACAAATAGCCATAGACTAAGCAATAGGTATATCATTGCTCAACATCTTCCATTGTTGTGGTGTTCACAACAAATGACATCACAGGACTTTTGGCCAGTTCGTGGACATGTTGAGTTGAAAATTCCGACTTCAACTGGAAAACACTACATGATTTAAAGGAGACAGAATTTAGATAGAAAAGATGGGCAAGAGTACTTCAATTAGAGCTTCTGAATGTTGGTTTTCATTTAATATCGATTAAGTGCCCATAGCTGATGTCACGATGACTACGTCCATCGTTATATACAGTCTGCAATCACTTGCCTACAGATGAGAACTTGTAACAAGGATTAAATAGTGCTGTTTCAAAGTGACCATCCAAATGATCCTAATGACCTGCACATCAGGGTTGGTATCCAGTGAGGTTGAAGTAAAACATGTCCCAAGTACTACTGAAGACATTTGTTACATAGCTGCTGCAGTGGACCTGATCAGAGGCCCACTGATAAGACCTGCCACTAGCTGTCAATCACCATATAGCATACACCGTTTTGTGTTGTCTTTGAATCTTGCAGTCCAGCCAAGACACCCTGAGGAACTGGATGTGTAACAATGAAGCTCCTCTGCAGTACACACCTTGATATTTTCGCCGTCAATCTCGACCAGTCTCTCCCTGAAGTCCACCCCGATCGTGGCCTCGGTCTTCTCGGGGAACTTGCCGGCACAAAAGCGGTAAGTGAGACAGGTCTTCCCGACCCCGGAGTCCCCGATGACGATGATTTTGAAGATGCGGGTCCTCGGCGGTGGAAGACTGGAGCTCGTCAGGGAGCTGGAGAATTCAGCTGACGACCCGCTCTCCGCCATATCACAACGACGAGCTGGACGACTCTGGGCTCCACTAGCTGTCAGTTATCAGGCTCCGCTGCAGCTACTGCTCGGTCTGAACTCAGGCGGTTACAGGACGAGAAGAACAGCTGCTGCGTGAGCCATCTTTAGAAAATGTCAATGTATA